AAACTTAACTTTACATTCATCACCCGACTCATCTTCATTAGAATTGCTTCCTTTGTCGGTTATATCTAAAGCAACATCACCAACATCAACAAAGTTCTCGTACCCATGTACATTCCCATCTTTTTGAATCATATTTTTTTTTTCTTTTTACTATTATCTACTTCACCCCTATTCATAATTTTAACTTCTTGTTGGGGAACGTCAACATAACAACCACCCATGTCATTAAGATATGTACCAACATCATCATCACCAACATACTTGTAATTTTCAAAATCTACATAGCGAATCGACGAATACCTCACATTAACATTTTTGACAACACTATGAAACTGAGGTAAACTAGGAGTCATGAAAGTACCTATTGGATTACTGCTCCTTTTATCGCTGCATAAGTTAGCAACTGGCTTATTTTCACTCTCGCCACCCTCCGTAACCGCATCACCTTCATCAACCACCACAAAGACTTTCACATCCCTTCCTTTAATCGATTTGATTACGTTTATCAACATTCTAACATCTATGTCTTCAACTATGGCTACATAATGATTTAATTCGGGATGATGAAAACGAAGACTAATTTTATATATGTCTAACAAACCGGTTTTTCATTCTCACCATAGATATAAAATCACTATAACTATCTTTAGACATACGTATTCAAGATTTGTTTGCACAACTTTCCATCTCCTACCGGTTACAACGCAAACCAAATATTTATTTACTTTATTAGAGATGTTTTAAACAAATTTTCTAAAGAAATAACAACTAAAGTGATAATTTTTTGCAAAACTTTTATATAATATGATTGTTTCGTAATCAAACCCTATCAATTTCTTAGTAAAAAAAAATATTCAAAATTGAAGGTGGAAGGCAGAGGAAATCACATGAACTTGGTGTGAGGTTGCAAGTATTTATACAGGAAAAAAAGAAAAAACTAAAAAAACCCCACCTGCGAACGTACAAGTCACTAAAGCGTATGCGTGCTTTAGCAACTTGTACGTTCGCAAATGGAAAGTTAAAATCGCAGATGAGCTTAATCCATCTAAGATTTTGATAACTATTTTTGTAATTTGGGATTTTTTTGTTATTTTCTAAAAAGTAATAGAAGGATTAGGTTTACTTTTGTAATTTTCTTTTTAAAAAAAAACATCTAACTCACTTTCATTCTCCATTTTTTTCCTCCATTTCTTTTCTATTATTCTCCAACCATCTCCTATTTATTCCCCAATTTTGAGGATATGAAAAGTACAAAAACACTAGACAAAATTAAAAAAAAAAAAAAAAAAAATGCTCAAAGCATCGACAAAAACCAAAAGTACTAAAACCGCTGTTGATACAAAAGACTAGCTAAAATCTAGTGAATTACGTACTTGAAGAGACAATTTGTAATTTTTGGGAACTGTAACGTCTTAATTAACCTCACCGAGTCCTTGACCTTTCATTTCCTTCTCTAAAGTTCAATTTCTTTCGATCAACACAGACTACAAGAATTCAATGTAAAAAATCTGTAGCTTTTTCATTACTCAGTATATATATATTCAATCTTCTTCTTTATGTGTATTTCTTAGCACCAAGAACCGTGGTCGTCTGAGGTATAATCGGATTTCTCATTAAACTGATCAGCTAGTATCAACTTGTTTCTTGGTTTCTCTTCTCAATTCTTGTTCCTGTATAAGAAGTCCTCACACTCTGATGATAATTACTTCACAGCCATGTTGAACAGGACTCTTAGTGTGGGAAACAACAAGACTTTTATTAAGACACTTAAGAAGAACTTTACACTTTGAGAGACTACTAGACACTTTTCTTTCTTTGAGGCTTTTTTTTTGGATACTTAGATGTTGGATTATTTGGAGCAAATGAGCTCCACACCTATTTATAGGTGTTTCCACCTCCTTATAGGAAGTTTCTAGATCTACATACATTCATGGCTATTCTAGAACTATCTACCATATTCTATATCTGTTACAAGCTTTTATATGTTTCTAGAATGTTCTATAATGTCCTAGATAAGTATAGACATTCTTATGTCTTCCATAGTGTTCTAGAATGTTCCATAGCCTTCCAGGGTCTTCCATCTCGTTCTAGAGTATTCTAGAATCTTCCGACATCTTCAACACTTCCCCATAGTATTCCATAATGTTCTAGAATCTTCCAGATCATTCTAGAACATGCTAACTTCTTCTAGACAATAACATGATTCTATTGGGCTAGTGATGACCTTCAACACTCCCCCTCAGCACTAGCCCCTATTCGTTGTACCATGTTGAGCTGATAATTAAAGCCCTCATATTTGTCAGTACTTAACCCTTTATGAACTCTATTTGCTACTTGGTCATTAGTCTTGATATGTTTCATATTGACTTCTTCCTTGAGAACTTTTTCTCTTCCACATGTTTTGTTTTTCCTTAGTTGTTGCAGTCGTGCTTCGTATATTGTTTCCATAGTTGACAACGACATTCGTGGTTGCCTTTTGTTGCACCATAATATTGTCGTGACCCGTTGAACTCTCTTATATAGTTTCTTATGCCTCCCGTTGGAGAACTTGTAAGCATGTGGGGTGTCCCTTTTACAAGCCCTGGAAAATTCCTGTAATATTAACATGTTATGACGTGATCCCTTATTGATCTGATCATCTCGTTTAGATGTTGCTTGGTTTAGAGATTTTACTTTGCTCTTACGAATTAATGTGTTTTTCTTCTTATTCGCCTTATCAGGTTTCTCCATCACATGTTCCACTTTTCGTCTAAGATGCGAGTTTTTATGTAACCCTAGTGACATTATGTTCTTCTTCTCCTTCGGAATGTCCGTCTTTGAGGGAACAATTTCCTCCTTCAAGGCTGTCATAAACTTTGCCTCACTCTTCTTGAGACCTTTGTCGAGTTGCATAGTTGATAGGATTTGGGATCCAATCCTATTTCTCTTCAAGGGTACAATGTGAATTATTGAACCCTTAGTGATACGCATGGTATCATCTCTCTCAAATGACCAGGGTCGTACGTTGTCTAGGAAATCCATTCCCAATACCATACGATAGTCATCCATATGCACCACTGTCAAGTCTATGGTGCCTTCCCATTCTGCTATCTTAAGAGGTACTCCATATGCAGCACCAATGATAGGCTTGGATAAAGAGTTGATGACTTTCAACCGGCCTGGATTTTTGGTGTATTTGATGCCCAACTTTTTAGCTTCATCTTTAGCAAGGAAATTATGGGATGCACCTGTATCTACGAAAGCCTTGGTGTATCCTCCATTTACCCTAGCATCCACGAACATTACCCTTCCTCTTTTAGTCTTATTCTCTTCTATAGCACATAGTGCCTCAGCATCCCATTCATCCTCTACTTCCTTTTTGGAAGTTACTATATTGCTTTCCACAGACTTTTTCTTTGACCAACAATCCTTGTACATGTGGCCCCACTTTCCACAATTGTTGCAGTTGCCTTCGAACCTCCTCCCCCGAGAACTCTTATTGTCGGTCTTTTGAGATCTCCATGGTTGTGAGGTTCTTGGCTGACTCTTCCCTTTGTTAGCATTTTTGTATCCTTCTTTAGAAGGTGGCTTGAAATTCCTCCAACTTTTACTTGTGTAAAGTGCTTCTTCTTCACTCTTCAGCGTGATGCCTCCCATTTGCTTAGCCATAGCTTCTTGGCTGGCCAACAAATTTTCAAACGCTACAAGTGATGGTTGAACGGGCCATCCTTGTACAGCAGTAACAAAGCTTCTATATTCCGGCCTTAGTCCATGGATAATGATCCTCTTCATTCGAGCTTCTGCAATGACGGATTGCGGATCTAGTTCAGTAATCTCCCGACATATCGACTTGACCTTGTGGAAATATTAAGCAATTGTCATGTCACGTTGTGAGATTGATAATAGCTCGTTCTCCAAAAGTTGTAGTCTCGTATCATTCTTCTTTGAGAAAAGCATCACAAACGTGTCCCAAGCTTCTTTCGGGGTGTTCTCATCCCGAATATGCTCCAGCATCTCTTCTTCGATTGTGGTCTTCAAGGCAAACATTGCTTTGCCTGCTTTGATTTTCCATTTGCGCAAAGCACCATTAACGTCTTCCTCTGGTGGCGTAGTTTCGCTTCCACCAACGACCTCCCATAGATCTTGTCCTTGTAAGTAGGACTTCATACATGTTTCCCACGTTTGTAGTTGTTGTTGTTGAGTTTCTTGATTCCTCCGACGACTTGGAGATCACCCATCGTGTTGGCAGTACCTCGGTAATACCAAACAAGCTAGTTTCGAAACTAAACTTGCAGAGTCACAAACTACTCACGATACAACGAGAATCACTCGTTCTCACTATCAAGAAACCTTGCTCTGATACCAGATTGTTGAACAGGACTCTTAGTGTGGGAAACAACAAGACTTTTATTAAGACACTTAAGAAGAACTTTACACTTTGAGAGACTACTAGACACTTTTCTTTCTTTGAGGCTTTTTTTTTGGATACTTAGATGTTGGATTATTTGGAGCAAATGAGCTCCACACCTATTTATAGGTGTTTCCACCTCCTTATAGGAAGTTTCTAGATCTACATACATTCATGGCTATTCTAGAACTATCTACCATATTCTATATCTGTTACAAGCTTTTATATGTTTCTAGAATGTTCTATAATGTCCTAGATAAGTATAGACATTCTTATGTCTTCCATAGTGTTCTAGAATGTTCCATAGCCTTCCAGGGTCTTCCATCTCGTTCTAGAGTATTCTAGAATCTTCCGACATCTTCAACACTTCCCCATAGTATTCCATAATGTTCTAGAATCTTCCAGATCATTCTAGAACATGCTAACTTCTTCTAGACAATAACATGATTCTATTGGGCTAGTGATGACCTTCAACAAGCCAAAGTGTTAAACGACCTTGATTTCAAATATTCTCTCAGTCACTCAACTTTTTACGTGCTTGTGTATTATTACTAGTTATTATTATTATTTTTTAAAGAATCTAAGAGGAACAAATAAGTTCCAATTAAGGATTATGGTGAGGGACATATATAAGGGTCAAGAATTGATTGATGTGGTGTTTTCTTGGTCTCTGGCTGACGTTCTTAACAGAAATCTGTACAATGGAAAGGTGAGTTCCACTTGTTATTAAATATAGACCATTTAGGGCATTTTTTTTACATGTTTACAAGCAATAATCCATGAAACATATTTTTAATCTGACACTTATATTCATCATATCTAGATGTGTTATAAAAATGCTAAGTTATTATACTTGAATAATATGGCCACTAGCTAAACTCTCTTTCGGTGTAAGGCCATACTTTTAATTTCTCCAACTAAGATCTAAAGATGAGTGATTAAGAACTGAGAAAGATTCTGGTAGCCAAACAACATAACATGGTTAGATTTTATATGTAGTATACAATTGGTAAATGTTGATAGTTTGTTACATTAAATGGATAAAAGGAGATAATATGTAAAACTGTAAATAGTGTAATTATTTTTATGCATTAATAATTAACCCAACTATTGAATGTTACAGATTATTCGATCTAAAACCACCTCAAAACTGTTTTTGTTATTGTTTCTATACTTTTGCCACCACTGGAACATTCACTATTTTAACAGGTAACAGAGATTCCCAAGACATTTTCATCTGTCTCTGACTATACCAAGTCTTTCTTCTATCCGCTTCTTGAAGAAATACATGCGGACTTGCTATCAAAGATACTAGAAGTCAACCGTTCTCCTACTGCTGAGATTGTTAGTGTGAAAAAGTCCAAAGGTTTATTATACACCATTATGCTTAAGAGGCATCAAGGATCTTATGTACCTGTGGTTGGAGATCTCATTACTTTGACTGATGTAAGGCCAAAATCTGTTGATGATCTGAAGAAGCCAAACAAGTCTTTCCTCATTGCTTTTGTGCAAGACTGTATCCTTATGAAGAAATCAGAATGTCAACTTTTGGTTTTGTCATCAAAGCCAATCAATCAACAAGAGGATGAAGATACTTATAGTGGGAACGATGTAAAACATTTTGCTGTTCACCTTACAAGTTTGACAACATATATTGGTATTTCGCAAGCCCTTCATGCAAACCTAAAAGGTGATACACTGAAGATGATTGAATCTGTGCTCCGAGTTGACTATTCTGTAAGATTAACATACATCTTTCATATGTCAAACAAAATTATGATTCTCTTTGGAAACTTGAACACTTGATCACTATTTCTAACAGGTTGAAGTAAATTGTGCTGAATGTTCAGTTGATACAACTAGAGACATGAATTTAGAAAAGATGAGGGAAGCTCTCAAATCATTTCAGCTTAATAGTTCTCAAGAAGCTGCTGTTTTGAGCTGCATTGCTACAAGAGAATGCAGTCACCAAAAAACATTAAGGTTAATATGGGGACCTCCAGGGACTGGAAAGACAAATACTATTGGTTGGTTATTATTTATGTTGCTGAGGATGAAATGCAGAACCCTGACTTGTGCTCCTACGAATATTGCAGTTGTAGGAGTTACCAAAAGAGTTTTGAGCTTGGTGAAGGATTCATTGCTATATGGTACTTATGGTTTAGGAGATATAGTTTTATTTGGTGGAGAAAGAATGAAGATAGACGATTGTAAAGACCTTTCAAACGTATTCTTAGAATTCCGTGTCAAGATTCTTGCTGATAGTTTGAGAGAATGGAAAGATATCAGTGAGTGGATGATTAGTTTCCTTGAGGATCCTCAAGAGAAGTACCACTTATGCTCAACAGAGAAGCAACATGTTATGCCTTTTCAGCAGTTTGTGGTGAAGGAGTTCAGCTTCTATGGAAATCGTCTTATATCTTGTATTGAAAGCTTGTACATGCATATGCCAACATCTGTCATTTCAGCTGAGGCAGCTAAACAAATGAATGTGCTTGTTCATTCTCTTAAAGTTCTTGAAGAACTAATGACACAAACAGTTATTTGTGAAGACTTGAATCGATTATACGATTCAAGCACAGGAGTAATTGTTAGTTTAGATCGCTGTATAATGTCATGCCTTGAGATACTCGTATACCTTCGAAGCACACTGTGTTTTCCAAAATTTGAGAAAGATTATAAAATTAAAAAATTTTGTTTGGCGAATGCCTGTTTGGTATTTTCCACAGCATCGAGCTCCATCAACTTGAGTTATGGGACAAAACCTTTGGAGTTTCTTGTCATTGATGAGGCTGCTCAGCTAAAGGAATGTGAATCTCTTATACCTTTGCAGCTTCGAGGTCTTAAACATGTTATTCTAGTTGGGGATGAAAGACAACTCCCAGCCACAGTTCAAAGCAAGGTTCAACATTGTTATATGTTATGTATATTTATGTGTTAGTGTGTGCTAATTAACCTTTTAATAAGTTTTTGCATTGTGTTTATAGATTAGTGAGGAGGCTGGATTCGGAAGGAGCTTATTTGAGAGGCTTGTATCCCTAGGGCATAAGAAGCACCTTCTTAATGTTCAATACAGGATGCATCCATCCATAAGCCAGTTCCCAAATAGGGAATTCTATGACAAACAAATCTTCGATGGTGTGAATGTCAAGAGCAATGGTTATGGGAAGCGTTTTCTCCAAGGAAGTATATATGGGTCGTACTCTTTTATAAATGTAAGTTCTGGTAGAGAGGAGTTTGATAAGAGTCATAGCATGAGAAATATCATGGAAGCGGCTATTGTGGCTGAAATCATTTCAAATCTCTATAAAGGTACTACTATACTTTCTATCTTTTCCTTCTCTCTCTCTCTCTCATTCATAGTTAATGATTGAACTTTTATCGCTATCATCAAAGAATCTGTTTCAAGAAAACAAAGGGTAAGCGTTGGTTGCATATCACCATATAAGGCTCAGGTAAATGCAATACTGGATAAACTTGGCAATAAGTATATGGATTCTGAAGATTACTTCTCTGTGAATGTCCGATCTGTTGATGGCTTTCAAGGGAGTGAGGAGGATGTAATTATTATATCCACAGTGAGATGTAATGGTAGAGGGTCTGTTGGTTTTCTTTCAGATCATCGAAGAACAAATGTGGCATTAACTAGAGCTAGGTAACAAGCAAATTAACTGATCTTGTTCAATATTCGACTTTGTTTGTTCTTTTTTGTTATTGTTGAATGGCCTTTTTGTTTATCCCATTTGTTCTATATACAGATATTGCTTGTGGATTTTGGGAAATGGATCGACTTTGATGAATAGTGGCTCTATTTGGAAGTATATAGTTGTTAATGCTAAAGACCGTGGTCGTTTTTACAATGCTAGTGAAGACAAAAACTTGGCTCAAGCTGCCATGTTTGCTTTAGTTGAGCTTCGTCAGTTTAATAACTTATTCAATAAGGATTCATTTCTTTTTAATGGGGTAAAATGGCAGGTATTTTGGATGCTTGATACTATTATTACCAATAATACACTTTTGTGGTTTGCTCATTTTCACGAATTGTTCTCAAACTTAGTAAAGATGTTTTCTTGGCTTATGTTAGGTAAGGTTTAATGACAAGTTCTTGGAGACAATTGCGGGATTCAGGGACTCTATTTGTAAGGAAGTGGTTACTCTTCTAGTTCAACTTTTGAGTGGTTGGCAAAAAGATGGGAACCATAAAGTGAACATACCAGGAACATGTATGCATAATCTGGAATCTTACAATGTAACACAAGACTTGTGTTTGATTTGGGCTGTAGATTTTGTAGTAGAAAATTCACTTTGCATTCAGGTGATAAAGATTTGGGATGTTTTGCCAGCCACCAAGATTGAACAACTGGCAAAGATATTAGTGGAAAAGGTATATGGTAATTATACTGTCAATATGATGAACCGCTGCATGGAAAAGCACGTTGATGGGTATGTTTGAATTGCATTTTGTTGTTTGTATGGACTTCGATCTTAATATATGGTTGGGTTTAGATGAATTTTTGTTTTAAAAGCGTAACTTATTGTTTTGAAATTGTGAATAGGAAGTTGATGCTTCCAATTACATGGCCTATGAATTCAGACTCTGATATAAGCTGGTCCTTCAAAAATCATTTAGATGCAACAAGAGCTACAAGTGTTTGGTGAGTTCTTGGACCATGTTATTGGTGGTTAATTTAGGTACTTGGAGATCCAACAGGAATGGTTAATTAAACGTTGTTTTATTTTTTATTATAGGAATTCCAGATATAAAAGGATGAAAGGTACTTAATGGGACGTAGCTATGGAACTGATTGGACCAACTTGATAAAATTGCACGGGCTACATTGGGCCTGCTTCACATGCAACAGTTTACTAAAGTTATGGCAGAAGTGAAGGAAAATGAAATATTGGTGTAAGGTTTCGGCGCAAAAAGTTCAGTAAACACCACCGGAGTTGTTCAACTATATATATCAATGATTGTGCTTTTATTAGCTAGCTAGCAACAATTGGCCAGATCATAACAGTTAGTAGTTAGTCTTAAATGTATTGATCGCTGCGTGTATTCTATATTTTAGTCATTCATAGCAGTTGCCTTAATTTAAAAGTGACGTACGGTTCTTACTTGTACCATATTTTGTTCATACACTAAAACTAAAAAAAAAAAAAGATGAATTACTAGCTTTAGGTCTGTAAACGAACAGAACTTTCAGCGAATAGTTTGTGAATCATTCGGTGGGAAGTTGGTTTATGTTCGTTTATTCAATAAACAAATGAACATGAACAAGATATATGGTTCGTTTAGTTACACGAAAGAATATGAGCAATGTTCTCGATCGTTCACTTACGTTCGTTCATTTATGTTCTTTTATGTTTACGTTTGTTTATGATTATTTGATTTTACCTATATATATATATATATATATATATATATATATATATATATATATATATATATATATATATATATATATATATATATATATATATAGATAAATAGATAGATAGATAGAGTGAAAACAAAGCTAAAAGAGGAAAGCTACTAATTGTCTAATATTGATTAAGTGAATGAGTCTCTCCCAAATCATTGTTCACTCGTTCTATTTTCAAACAACTTCGTGTCTGTCTAGTTAGGGTTTACTTTATCACACACCGTCTCCGTCTCTGACGAGACGATCGAACTCGTTCATGGTTGTTTATTTATGTTCGTCTAAGTTTGTTCATATATGTTCGTTTAAGTTCGTTTGACGTTGTGTTTGTTTATGTTCGTTTGTGTTTGTTTATGTTCATTTATCAACTTAAACGAACGAACATAAACAAACACGAACATAAAAGTATGTTCATTTAGTTGTTCATGTTCATTTGTTGTTCGGTTAAAGTTAAACGAACAAACACGAACAAGCCTCTATTATTGTTCGTTCGGTTTGTTTACAGCTCGAACTAGTCCAAACAAGAATTAAGATGAATGGTTAAAAATTGCAAAATTAAACTTAGTTTGTCAAAACTTTTCCAACTTGAAAGAAAGTTTAATGATGCAAACATGTAATGACCAAAAAATTATATGGTAAAATTTTCATTTTTTTAAATTCAACCAAAAACACCAATTATCATTTTCCAAACATTCAAAAGTATGTCATAATAAAACAGTTACCTACTCCAATCTGCCTTCTTAGTACGCCCAACATACTAGGCTTAGCCCTAAAACCGCCAAACTTCTGAAGGCCATAACTTCTTCATTCTATGTCCAAATTCGACGATCCTTATATCCCCGAAAAGGTAATGAGAAGCTCTACAATTCTATCAACTCACTCTTGCCTTAAAAAATTTCAAACTTAAATCCAAAAATCATAAAAGGCCCGAACTATCACTTTACGGTTATACCCTTGGACTCCAAAATACAAGCCAAACTCTTGGATCACCTAATATGCATTATCTACACCCAAAGGGGTCTAAATCTTTCCCTCCCCAAGGACCATAGCCTTATGATAACTGATCTTCGAGTCACGGCTTCAAATTAGGAAACGGTTCGAATAGGGTGTTACAACTCTCCCCCACTTGAATTAGATTTCGTCCTCGAAATCACTCCTTACCACCCTCCTGCCAACCAAACTCTCCGAACAATACATCTTGATTCACCGAATCGCCCGAAAGTTTGACTCATACTCTTTACGACCCTCCAAAGCTACCATCGAACCCAACCTTATTAGAATTCATATTCCTAATGGTAAACAAATCATTTATCCTTTAATTGACGAACCAACACCTCACTGTTATAATTCCGAAACTCCAAAACTATGCCTAACCTTTACACATGTAGGACAATCCCTAAACACAATCACTAGGACCTCTTACTGCAATTTGAACTGAAGATCATCATTTTGATCCTGAACTATCCAACTGGTATCTTGGCAGACAGATTCCTTAACCATAACTTGCTAATGAAAAGATCTTCGATATAAACAAAGACGACTCCCAATGCGAGTCTTGTCTATTTTCCAAACCCGTACATAACTCATGTCCCGGAATTTAAGGATTTACACTTCCATTTATTCGAAATATTATGATTTCTCGACGACCTTCCACTAAACTAAGATGTAAAATCCCAATCCATCGCTGAGACTGACAGTCTCACCAACTCGGCACAATTGAATGGGCCACACCCACATGTCTCACCAAATCGAGTGCTATACAGGCCTAACCTCGCCTCAGACCCAATGAACTTCATCCCTTAACAAGGAGAAATCTTCCGATGATACTGTTTGCCTCGCATCAGGCATACGTTGATCCCCTTTCAGCCTGACGACCACTCCTACAATGCCCTACCTCAATCTGGTGAATGCTATGACTACATCACAAACTTACAACACTTCCATGACATCCTATCATCCTTTTTTTGTTATGGTTGCCTCGTAGTCTTACAACACGTCCATACTGCCATAGACTCAACCCATGGTCTTGCTCTCCATCTACCATACCAACCCTTGATCAATCATGAGTCAACCCACATTGTCTATATCCTAATCAGATTTTGGGTCATGCATCGAACCCCAAAGCCTTCATAAGACACGAATAGGCAGAGAGGCCCTAACAAAACCCTCAACCTGGATCCATCTATGTATCTGCTATACATTACAATGAATGCGCCAACCATATGTTAGAAATTTTCTGAACTCCCAACCTCACGTAACCTCAATCCAGACTACCACTTTAGTCATCTTCCCTCCCGAACAGGATGTTAAACTCTCCCTAGTTTCACACCTAGTTCTATCCCCGAAAATTTAATCGGTGCTCCCCCACTTAAATTTAACTACCCGATGCCATCCTTACTAAAAAACAGCGAATAATAGGGTCCCATGTCGGAACTGACTGACCAACCCAACATCCCCCTTACCGAGGGATCTATGCATTCTAACCGCCTTCCATCGATGCAATTTTGAAATTTATTTGACACTTCCAATGTTGGAACAAGCCCACACGACCACCATCATCATCCTCTTACTACCGCTCCTACCCTGGTAATGGTAGCGATCGGACCCAAAAGTACTTCCAATAACGATCATCATCCCCACTGAAAGACACAACACTTCTAAACTCTTACTTCTTTGACGAACCAATCATGAAAATCCGTCTACCGATCTTCCAAGCGATACCCATGAATTGCTTCCACCAACGACCCAAAACAACAACCGGACAAACTAAATCTAACTCAACAAAATGTGTCCGACTCATAACTCATGGCATTAAAAAATGACATATAACAATGCTTGATAATATACCCATGTAATAATAGAGAACTAAGCCAATGATAATGCTTACACATACCGACACATGATTCCAAAGCACATACTTATACGGATAATAAGGCATGAAGAAAACAAAAGATAAGGTACCCGCGATAGCATCTAATAAAACTCTGGCGTCCCCCGACTGACACTCGAACGCTTGGGTCCTCATTATTGGGGATCCTACCTACCCTCTCAACCATCAGTGATCCTCAAAATAACTGGAGAAGGTGCACTCACTACTCCACCCCTCAACATCGGACAATCGGACTTCTTGTGGCCCACCTGGTTGTAGTAAAAACACATCGAAACTGACCCATAGGGGCAATCCCTACTGAAATGACCCATCTGACCACAACTGAAACATCCCTGATCTGTCTCCTGACATCCTCCCTCATGGATCCTCCCACACTTAGCACAACGGCCCCGACCCTGATGGCCTCCCAATCATGAATCCTGAATCTTGGGCCTCTTCGCATGGCCCACTGCAATCTGAGTATGCTCTAGCTTCCTCTTCCCGAGGTGTTCCAAATCGATCTCCCGTTCGCGGGCTCTTGCAATCATAGTATTTAAGGTCTTGCACCCTAACAAACACACAAACTCCCTTATGTCATCCCTTAACATATCATGATGCCTTACCTTCTTCATCACCTTGTCCGTTGCATACTGTAGGACCAACAAAGCCCTTTCCCGAAACTTGGTAGTGATCTCTGCCATGGTCTAAGTCATCTGGCGAAGGTCCTAAAACTCCCTCGACAAATGTTGCACCTCAATAGTCAAGAGCCGGTGAAACTCGGCCCTAAACCGGGTCACAAACTCATCCTAATACATTGTCTCTAGGACCTCGCCTCTCAAAGCGTTGTCTACCTCCTTCTACCATTCTCGAGCTCTATCTTTCAGAAGATAAGAAACAAACCTGACCTTCGACCCCTCAGGGCGGAAACTCGCCTAGACGTTCATCCAAAATCTCAAAGTGATGTTCTTTTTCTTTGGTTTATGTACTAGCTAGACTAGAACCATGCATATTTCTGCACATTCTGTTCAAATAGTCACGTCTACCAAAAAGCTCTTGCCCTAGCATTATTTGAAAATGTGCCCCCCTCTAAACCGAAGGCCCTTAATGAGTAAGTATTTAAAGAGTATGTGGACAAAAGTGTGTCAAAAACTTTGATTGACAATTTTGTTGACTGATTGTGTCATTTGGTTTTTTTGATCAAGTCTAGTGTAATTAATCTTATTTGTTAACATGCTATTATTCTGTATATATGGAAAATTTGTCGACACTTTTATAATTCGTGTACATTTTAGCTAATTTTGATAAGAATTTATCAATGTAATAGAAGTGAATTGTCATGATCTTACCTCAAGTTTCATTTTTCATATCTTCTATACGATTTAGAAATTATATTTTTTCCAAAGTACAACATTGTAAAGCACATGCATTCCACTTGTTTAAGGTATTTTATTATATGATGGCTCCACGCCGTACTAATCGTGTTTGTGGATATAAAAAGACACATGAGTCATGCAATGATGATCAAAGATTTCAATCAAACACTTCTCAAGTTCAACCTTCTTCTTATTCATCTAAAAGAGTTAAAGATCAAAGATTTCAATCAAACATTTCTCAATCTTCTTCTCATTCATCTCAAGGAGATGAGGAGTCAAATGTCATGGAACAAGAGTCTACTAACTCATCATCCAAAAGGAAGAAAATCGACATCAATAGTGATGGAGAGTATGCATATATTTAAACTATAATTACTTGTTAATTGTGGTAATAAACTAATAATATGATTTGTTTTATTGTTTCTTTTCTCAAGATTTACAGATCACAATTCAGTCATACGAAATATGACATCTATATTAAAGACTATGTTCGTGGCCCATGGACCACATGGAAAGAGGTTGACTCAACTGGGCGTGAAGCATTATGGCAATACTTTAAGGTTTATAGTTACTTATCTTTCTATTTTAATAATTCATATCTTTTCTACAATGTTAAAGCTAATGATATAAATGATCTACATGTAGGGATTATACCAATGGCCACCGAGTGCTGAATCACTAGTTTACACAGCATGGGAGAATAGCTACAAGAAACGTTTTTCTGGCATAATGCAAAGTGCACATGAATATTCACTTCAACAAACCTTGGATGCAAATGTCAAAGCCTCACTACAAGGCGATTTATCGTTGCTAAAACAATTTAATCCAAAATGGATAAAGAAGAAAGATTGGGTATATATGATTGACAAAGTCTCGAACACATCAAAATGGAAATATAGGTCCGAATATGGAAAACAAAACATAAATAAAATGGAAGATGGCTCAGTTTCCAAACATTGTGGTGGTTCCATTTCAATTCCTCAACATAAAGCCAGACTCGTAAGATATTATCTATAAAATGTTTTTAAATTATTTTTCTATATATGATTAGATGTTATGCGTCTGATTACTTCTAAATTTTTTTGCAAGCAAATATGAAAAGGCCTCCTAATGGGCTTGAACTTTATGCAAGGTTACACACTAACAAGTTAACTCAAGAGTACATTACACCAAAAGCTGAGAAAATTGCGGTAGTTTTTTTGATTTTTTGGAAAAGTGGTCAAGTAAAAAGTAAGTTGTAATTATTTTTGCTATGAACTGATAGTAGTTTATAGGGTTTCACTATAATAGGACGCGTATCAAAAAGCTATGGTGGATAAGTTTGGAGATGATCCTAATTGTCATCCCCTATGGGATACTGAATTGTGGTGTGATGTTAGTGGAGGCATAAAAAAAGGAAGAATATCTATATGGGGTTCTGTATCTGAGTCCCATAGATTGTTGGTGGGGTCTTCAGTAGCCCAAAGTACAGGAACATCTCCAGAGAACATGGAGGTTTGTTTTGTTTATTGTAGCATCCTGCTTTACAACAGAAACTATATTATACAATTGATAAAAGTTTATTTGATCAAATATGTTATTAGAAAATTTTGACAAGTCTGATAAAATACGAACGAGATTTAGGTTCTGAATCTGATTATTTTTTATTTTAGTAAATTTGGTTATGATTCAAAAAGTATTAGTAAAGGTCAAAATTATACAAAATTCAAGGACAATTTCTATTATTTACACTATAAATAGTTGAATGTCACTTTTTACGCTTGGGGAGGACGAACGACAGTGATGAGTTGTTTGGTAATTCCAAAAATAGCAACCTCAAAATTTATTTGGTGTTGTTTCTAACTCAAATAGGAATGTGTTAAAAGATTGACAAGTTCTTCAATTTCACAAAATTTATCAGGTGAATCTACTTTCCAATTTACCTGATGCAGTTTTCCAAAATTCTTTTTGAAGCATAATGATCCATTGTAGTGGAATATTTTAATCCTAAATCCTAAAATAATAATAAAGTTATTGGCTATGTACTTTCATTTTTTATTATTAAGCCGTTGTACTTTGAAGTATCTACCAAGTTATAGCATTGCACCTTAACCTCATTGTTCATTATATCATTCTACTTTCATTTTATGGAAATTGAAAGTAAGAACTAAATTAGAATTTATTAAAGAAATAAAAATACAGTAATAGCATTGCATTTAGTCATTATAGCATCCTACTTTCATTTTTTTATATTACAACATAGTTAGAGTTTTTCTTAATAAGGAATTGCACTTAGAAAAAATCTACCACATATATTAATGTTGTTACTGCAGGTTATATATGAACGTGTGCGTGAGGAAATGCGTGAGGAAATGGAGGCACAACGTCAACAACTTGATGCACAAGCTGCGGAAATTGAGGCCAGACGTCAAGAAATGCGTGTGGAAATGGATGCAAAAATTCAGGAAATAGAGGCCACACGTCAAGATATAACTGCCAAACAAAGACACATTGATGCCAGATATGAAGAAATGCAGAAGATGATCACAACATTGCAAAATAGGAAGGGAGGAAATTGAAAATATTAAACTTTTGTCAATGTGGTTCTTTTTTACTTTTAAAATTGAATGTAAATGTGCAACGTTGACAATTTTGGTATTTGAATGGTAATGTTTCGTTATCTATTAATTAATTTTATGCATGTAGAATATATAATATGTGGGAATTTATAAGTTTGCAACGGATACTGATGGAAACACAGATATCAAAGTTCCAACATAACTCTGATTGAAATGTCCATTGCTAATTTCCTTGTTCGGTTTGGTCGTCCATTTGACCTTACCCCATAGGAACTTGTTACATGATCCCTACAACAATGTGGGTTAGGATTAAGGACTTTGATAAACACAAGCATAATAATAAAGACACCTAATAATAAAGAACACAATACTTTAATGAGGTTCATGTAATCAAAGTAATCTAGCTACATTCATAAATGAACTCGAGAAATTTTAATGATAATCTTAATACAAGTTTTTTACATTATGATTATAATCTTATTGACATATCAAATCTTTTTTGGATAGGGACCTATAGCCTTATGACATCACCGACATGAGCTAGCACATGATAACAAACTTGGTCCCCAAGTTACTTGGTCAAACCGAAGTTCAAAGTCTAGGACTACTTCTGATTAAAGTCCAAAGCATGATGTACACCGAATGCGAAGCTCATGTGATGAACTTTGCTCTCCACGGCTAAGCTTAGGTTTTTGTGTTTGGCTTTAATCCAATTCTTCATACTTAGCCTCTTAACTTCATCAAAAGCTTTACCTTTTTGATGCTAACCTCTTTTGTTGTATATATCTTTGCTCTTGAAGCTTCACCCACTCAACAACTTTGCCAAGCGGTTTCACCTTTACAATCGAAGCTTTGTAGTAGCAGATTCACCTGAATCCTTGGATTCTACGATACAAACTGCTCCAAGATAATTGTATTCGCGGGCATTGCCCTCAACCCCCCAAAAGGGCCAACTCCCATTGACCTCCACCCACTCTTTTAAGAGAAGGACCCATGGTTGGTCTACGTGCCAACAATGAGGTCAAATGGAGAATCATATTCCACAACTCAATAATCTTTCACTTGAAGGTTGATCAATCAATCTGATTCCACCCAAGTTGTGTAACATCCATCTCTTTCCTAATGGTCACTTCTTTAGTAAACATGTTTGTTGGGTTCTTCGTACCATGATCTTCTTTGGATTTAGAGTATAATCACTTTTCAATTCTATGATAAAGTGGTACCCAATCTTGATGTATTTTGTTCGATCTTACGTGAAACACTACATTATTCACCAAGTGTACTGCACTTGTTTATCATAATGTACGACACAATCTTCTTATTTCATGCCCAAATTTGAGGGGAAGTTTTTCAAGCAAATGAGCTCCTCTCTAGCTTATGATATAGTTATATACTATACTTTGGTGGTTAAAAGATCAACTCTCTTTTATAATTTGGTTATCCAACCGATGGTTATTACCCTTATTGCAAAGGCATAACATGTTGTGCTCTTTCCAGAATCCACACAACCTAATAAGACAGCCTCATTGAAACCTTCTACGACAACCTCCCGCATTTCGAAACATAAGGCAACATCTGAAGTTCCTTTCAAGTATAATAGAAACCACTTGACTCGTTCTCAATGCTCCTTCCCCATATTTGACATAAATCTACTAACAAATCTCATTGTGTGATCAATGTCTAGTCTAGTTCATACCATCGCATACATTAAAATACTAATTGTTAAGGCGTAGTCAACCTTAGCTAATTTTGTTGTCTTTTTCCGTCTTCAGATATTACTTTTTGGAGAGTTTCAAATAACCCCTATGAGGTGTAATTTTCATCTTAGCAACTGCCATGCTAAACTTCTTTAATAATTTTTTAATGTAATTATGTTGGGAAAGTTTTAGAGTACCTATAGCCTTATCCCAGATGATATTCATGCCAAGAATCTTCTTAGCAACTTCTAAGTCTTTCATCTCAAATTCTCTAGACAACCATTTCTTCAACTTGTCGATCTACTTCATGTTAGGTCCAACCACCAACATGTCATCAACATATAGTAAGAGGATGATGTAATAAAATTTGAACTTCAGGTCGCAACAATGATCATTCTCACATCTCATTTACAAATTCCTCTTCATGAAATCATCAAACATCCAACTACCATTGTCTTAATGCTTGCTTCAATCAATACATGTTTTTATTCAACTTCCACACCAACTTTTCTTCTTCAGAAATCTAAAAACCTTATAATTGTTCCATATAGTTATCTTCATCAAGGACACCATCGAAAAGAAATATGTCGTCATGTCCAACTAATCTAGATGTAAATCTTATGTAGCGACAATTCCAATAACCATTCAGATTGTGTTCATCTTCACAAATGGTTAGAAAATTTCATTGTAATCAATTCCTGCCTTTTGGGGACCCTTTTACTTATACATCTTACTCCCATCAATCTCATCATTGGCCCTGAACATGCATTTGTTCTAAAGTGCCTTCTTCCTAGTTAGTCACTTGACCAAGGATCAAGTCTTGTTCTTGTCAAGTGAGCTCAACTCAACCTTTATATCTCTATTCCACTATATGGAGTCTTTCATCTATAAGGATTCCTGATAAGTTTATGGTTCTCCATTTTTAGACAGTAATAAGAAATTTGTTGATGGAGAATATATATGAGTGTATATCTCTTTTCTTAAGGTGATCTTCAGGGAGTTCTTGAGGATGTGTTTTTAGTGGCTTTGCTTCTACTATCTTCGGCTTTGCTCCCACTCACTCCAGATGCTCCAACCATATATGAGCTTCTACCAGGTGTAGAACCTTCGCATACTTTGAGGTACTAGAAGGCTTTACAATGTCTTTTTCCGAAATCACATATGACATCACTTGATCTCTATCTCCAGATTTCTTGCTTCTAATTAATGAAGTCAGTAGTGAGAGATTATCTTTATAAAGTGCATTGTCATTTAATTTCACATCCCAAATTCTATTAGGAATCAACAAAACAAGTTGAGCAACTTCAAACAATTGATAAACGATTTCAGTAAAATACACAAAATAAACTTCTAAAAATAGTACTCGAAAAACTGTAAAAACTGAACATAATATTTAACGTTGTTCGGTTAATGTCATTTTATTAAACTTTCAAGAAAAATTACAACCAATCACAAAAGGTCGCACCTCACTTAAGCACAATCTCTTTTGCTGACAAACTACTCTAAATGATAGGTCATCAACCTCACAATGATTGCTCTCTTGAAATATGTCCACTCATACATGTACGTATCTAGCACAAATGTTGATGGAGATAGGAATGATTATTTATAGACAAGCATAAGGATATAATTCTGGTGGTCCATGCACATCCATAGCTAGGCCCTAAATGGAACAATCCAATCATGGGACGTTATAGAATTTTCAACCTTGAGGAATGTGCATGGCCACCTGCCATGCACCTTGGCATATTCAAAAACTCCCCCAAAAGGACATACCAACGCATTTAGGATAAACGAGTGCATTTTCTAGGACTTTGAGCTCATTTAGAAGCAAGCAACATATTTACAAGGCCAGGGACACATTTACCTTGAGTTGGAGCGCATGCATGAAGCTTCATCGCATTATCCAATAAGAGAAGCATATTCAACAATAGTTGTAGCACATTTAGGAGGGCTACAACACATTCTCATTAGGAGGAGTGCAAGCTCCAAGTGTGGAGTGCATGCTCCAAGTGCTCGATCACTTTGCGAAGTGTCAGTTGCACATTGCCAAGTGCCTTAGTAGGGGTTGGCATTTGGACCTGTGGACCACACCGAACCAGTGAACCAGACCGCACCATTTATTGGGACCCACAGACCGGTTCTCGTTTCTAGGATTTGAGCAAAGCGTTCCAGTTTTTTTACCGGTCCGGTCCAGTTGATTCCGAGTAAAAACCGGTTTTACACCGGCTTCTTTTAAAAAAATTTGTATTCTGTGAAATTCTTTAAACAAACATATATCATTCATTTTAAATTGGATTGGCATGCAGTTTTTTTCGACATGTAATTTAGAGTTTGTAGATGATTTTAGACTATAATTTTCTTGTTTTTTGTGTTATATTTGATGAGTTACAATCCTTCCAAATGAGATATCAAAGCTAAAATATTTCAGCTTTTCATCAAGAAATTTACACTTTTATATTTTGTGAATTTATTTAAACACACATATCTCATTCGTTTTAAGTCGGATTGATATGCAGTTTTTTCCAATGTGTAATTTAGAGTTTATAGATGATTTTAGACTATAATTATGTGGTTTTTGGTGATATATTCAATGAGTTACAATCTTCAAATATGAGATATCAAAGATGAAATATTTTAGTTTTTCAGCAAGAAATTTAAACTTTTGTATTCTATGAAATTCTTTAAACAAACATATCTCTTTCGTTTTAAGTAGGATTGACATGTGGTTTTTTCCAACGTGTGATTTAGAGTTTGTAGATGATTTTAGACTACAATTTTGTTGTTTTGGTGTTATATTCAATGAGTTACATGCCTTTCGAGATGAGATGTCAAAGCTGAAATATTTCAGATTTTCGACAAGAAATTTAAATTATTGTATTATGTGAAATTCTTTAAACAATATGTAAGACTCGATTTCATATTGCTTCATTATTCGGGGCTGTGGCCCAATCATCAGCTATCATGAGGCTTAGGGCTTTGGGGAAGAAAAGATTTGGCCCTTTTCGGATGTGGGTGTTATGGTTTAAGTGATCCAAGTGTTTGATGGTGTTTTGGAGCCTAAGGGTATAATTCTAATTTTTTAACTCGGTCCTTTATGAATTTTGGGTTTTTGTTCGAGAAGTTTTAAGGCGAGGGTGAGTTGATAGAAGCGTAGGGCTTCTCGTCACCTTCCTGTGGATATAGAGTTCGTTGGAAACGGACTTAGGACGAAGGATTTAGGGCCGAGTGAAGTTCTAATTGTTAGAAGTTCATCTAGTATGTGGGGCGTACTAGATGTGTATGTGGGGCGTAGTGGGTCAAGTGGTCATAGATGAGACTTGAGTACGCCGGGCGTACTAAGGGGTACGTGGGGCGTACTCCCTTCAGAGAAAAACACTAATTTTGGGGTTCCTACCCTATATAAACATCATTATGGTCTTCTTTTGGGTCTTTTAAGTCAGTCTACATCTCCTTTCATCTACCTTGAAACCCTACCCTAGAGTGCCTAAGTGAGTCTTGGAGATGGGAAGAGTGTTTGTGGTGGCTTGTGCAAGAGAAGGAGAAGGTTGAAGACTCACTATCTTGAAAGGAGATTAGAGATCCAGAAGTCACATCATCATTTCGTGATCTTGAATGTATAAAGTCTCTATATTGCTCACTCTTTGGTTAGAGCTTCTTTTGGGTTTGTTCTTAGTCATTTTACCCTCTTTTAGTGGTTCTTGTGAGATATAGTTGTTTCATAGGTTTGATCTTGTGGATCTAGACGTTTTAGCTGTCCCAAAGGCATAAAAATGTGATCTGTATGGTTTCTTTGAACTCATGCATGTGTTAAGAACTTTAATTAAGCTCTTTTGAGCTCTAAAAACATATCTCATTTGTTTTATGTCGGATTGACATGCGGTTTTTTCTAACATGTAATTTAGAGTTTGTACGGATTGACATGCGATTTTAGACTATAATTTTGTTGTTTTTTGTGTTATATTGAATGAGTTACAATCTTTCAAACAAATGATATAAAGTATAAACAATCAAAGTTTGACTGGTCCAAATGACACAAGAACATAAACATATTCATTTTTACGAGTTGTAACGTATCAAACCCAAAAAATTATTCATTTTAACGAGTTGTAACGTATCAAACCCAACAACATAATTATTTTGATGAGTTGTATCAAACCTAAAAACACATTTTAACAAGTTGTACTGTATGCATGTAAAGTTGTATCGGTCCAAATGGGTCCAAGAACCGAAAAACCCGAACTTGGACCCGGACATGGACCTGTACCCGGTAAGTCTCATCTGATCCGATCCACGACCCACAATATTCTCCGAAACTGATCTGGTCCAAGAGTCGGTCCGGTCCGGTCCAAATGCTCGCCCCTACCTATTAGTGCTTGGATTCCACATTTTATGATATATGGGTTTTTTAAAAAAATTTTCTCCTAAACAATAGTGCTTTGGAGATTTATTCGACAAGTTGCAAAGAAGATATCATGAATACGAGTTTTCCAGCTAGACTACAAGGGAATGGGGTAATGAAAGGACACGATGTGGGGAAAGATATAAGGGAATGTGGTGGGGCCATTTATATTTTAAAAATTATTAATATAGGGAAAACAAGAAAACCATCAAACAATAGTAAAAGAGTCATTTTAAAAAGTGTTTTGATAAATTAACTTATAGTTTATTAATTTATAACGGTGTGAAAAAACAGTTTTTGCAAAAGTGTTTGGATTATAAATAAGTTATAAGCTATAACAAGGGGTGGGGGGTTGCTTTTTAAAATTAGTGTAATTAACGTATCCCACCACAATAAACTGATTTTTAATATTTTATATCCAAATATTTAAACTTAACTTATAACGATAAAGATAATCAATAAGCTATAAGCAATCTCTTTTTCCCCTATCCAAACACCCTCTAAATTGATTAAATTGATTAGAGACCAAAAGTGTAATAAAATAATATCGTAAAGATTATCCGAGTTAAATACTATTATTAGAGACGAAACTTGCGCATTACCCCTAAAACACTAGTACTAAATAGTAAAAAAAATTAAATTCTATGCTAATAGGGGTTACTGGTAGCCTTATGTGTAGGAGTGTGGGTCACAAAGTCCGGAGTTCAATTTCTTGCTGTTAATTACTATATATTTCAGAATTCAGATTGTCTAGATTGAGCGTGAAGGGGCTGAAAAGAGGGTAACAAAACGCAAAGATAAAAGAGAAATGGATTTCTAAATTTATTATTAAACCATCTTAAGACATCCCAAAAATGGAAAATATAGTGTAATCAGTAATGGAACGCGAAGCCGACAAAATACAACTCAAAAAAAGACACTGTATTAGTATATAAGTATTTTCATGGAAGAGATCATTTGAACTTCTAGGAAAATGTAACGTTTTCATGGAAGAGATCATTTGAACTTCTAGGAACTGTAGCCCTACTCCATGCCCCTTCATTCACTTCTCTAATTAAGAATTCAGGAACGAAGGTGTGGCTCTTCAATACCAATAATATAATCGTCTCCTATGCGTGTGTGGGTTTTCTAGCACCAAGAACTGTGGAAGCCTGAGGTATACACGAATTTCTCTAAAGGGTCAGCTTGCACTCTTTGATCTTTATCTTGTTTTCTTTGTTGTTTGGGTTTGCACTAGAAACATGCATATTTCTGCATATTCTGATTAAAAGACGAATCGCATGCATACAGCCTTAGTTTCCAATATTCACTTATAGTTTCTTGGTTACTTACATTGTTTATACCTGCTTGTGTATTACTACTTGTTCTTTGAAGAATCTAAGGCATACAACGAAGTGTGAAAAGGATCATGGCCACAGATACCGATAAGAAGAAACCTGAAAACAAGGGTGGAAATTTGATTCATGAGGTGTTTTCTTGGTCACTTGACGATGTGCTTAACAAAAATCTCTACAAAAGCAAGGTTTGTAAAAAAAAAAATCTCATAAGCTACTCAATCTCACAGTTTAGATGACTGAACTTCTTTAAACAGTTAAAAACACGTTCTTTATAAGTTTGAACATCCAAGTCATAAAAAAAATCTTTTGTTTCTTATTATTGTTCGAATATCCTTGCATTACATGCACATCACTGAACTTCCATGAATTGAACAGGTAGCAGAGATTCCGAAGACGTTTCCATCTGTAAGCGACTATACCAAGTCATTTGTCTATCCTCTTTATGAGGAGACACATGCGGACTTGTTGTCAAAGATGCTAGGAGTCAACCGTTCTCCCACAGCGGAAATAATTAAAGTTAAAAAGTCTAAAGATTTTAGGCTACCTAAAGCCTTATTCTACACCATTGTGCTAAAGAGACATCAAGGATTCTATTCACCTGAGGTTGGAGATCTTATTGCTTTGACTGATGTGAAACCAAAATGTGTTGATGATCTTAAGAGGCCAAACAAGCCTTACCTCATTGCTTTAGTGCAAAGCATGAAGGCCAACAAATCGCATTATCAACTTTGTATTTTATCATCGAAACCAATAATTCCAGAAGTTGTTGAAATGGATATTCGGAAAGATGTAACAAGTTATAGTAGAATGAATGTAATCCATTTTGTTGTTTATCTTACAAACTTGACAACAAATATCCGTATTTCTCAAGCCCTTCATGCGGAGGTAGAAGGGGAGAGAAAGAAGATCATTGAAAAACTGCTGCGAGCTGATTCTTCTTCTGTAAGAATGAAACTCAAACAAGATTTTACTTTGTATGGGGTTACCACGTACTCTAAGTCTAAGCACTTACTTTTTGTAACAGGTTGAAGAAAGTCACCTTGAATTTTCGATTGATACAACTGAAGACTTGACTTTATTGAAGATTAAAAAAATTCTCAAATCATTTCAGCTTGATAGTTCACAAGAAGCTGCTGTTTTGAGCTGCATTGCTGCAAGAAAACATGGTGATCAAAATACAATTAAGTTAATATGGGGGCCTCCTGGAACTGGAAAGACAAAAACTATTGGTTCTTTATTGTTTATGTTTCTGATGATGAAATGCAGAACCCTCACTTGTGCTCCTACGAATATTGCAGTTGTAGGTGTTACAAAAAGAATTATGAGCTTAGTGAGAGACTTTTTGAGATATGGGACTTATGGTTTAGGAGATATAGTTTTATTTGGGAATGGAGAAAGAATGAAGATCGATGATTGCAAAGACCTTTCAGAAATATTCTTAGAGTTTCGTGTCAAGATTCTTGCTGATTGTTTAGCTCCACGTTCAGGATGGAAAGGTAGCAGTGAGTGGATGATTAGTTTCCTTGAAGATCCTGAGCAACAGTATCGCATGTACTTGAGGGAAAAGGTACAATGTGATGAAATGGAGAGTGATAGTAGTGATACTGATGAGAAAGCTCATAGCGAAGAAGATGAAGATGAGGAATATTTGATTCCTGATCAAAAAGAGAAATCAGAGGACGCAATGTTAAAGAAAGCACTGAAAAAGAATAACTGGAAGACCCTCATTGTAAGTACCTTGAAAGGGAACAAGAAATTGTCAAATAGTGAGGCCACACAAGAGGATGCAAGTGAGGTTCCTTCAAAGCAAAAATCAGACAAGAAGAATTTTCAAGAAAATATTTTAACTTTCGAGCAGTTTGTGACAAATGGGTTCACTTTTCTTGGAAATCATATTATACATTGTGTTGAAAGCTTATACACATATGCCGACATCTATTATTTCCCTTGATGAAGCAAAACAAATGGTAGAACTTGTTAGTTCTCTTCAGAGTCTTGGAGAATCACTGAAACAAACAATTGCTTCTAATGTAGACCTACGAGAAGCCTTGAATGGTTTAGATGATATTAGGACAGAAAGCATACATGCTTGCAGGATTGCAAGTCTTCAAATACTCAAATGCCTTCAAAACACCCTATGTTTTCCAGACTTGAAGGATGAATTTGAAACTCGAAGATTTTGTATGGCGAATTCTTGTTTAATATTTTGCACAGCATCAAGCTCCATCAACTTGCATACAGAAGGAATGAGTCCTTTGGAATTTCTTGTGATTGATGAAGCTGCTCAATTAAAGGAATGTGAATCTCTTATACCATTGCATCTTGTTGGTGCTCGACATGCAATCCTTGTTGGGGATGAAAGACAACTCCCTGCCATGGTGCAAAGCAAGGTTGAAAAATGTTATGCATTCTGTATATTTATGTGTTGGTGTGCTATTTTAATTACAAATAATTTGTTGCACTGTTTTTACAGATAAGTGAGGAGGCTGAATTCGGAAGGAGCTTATTCGAGAGGCTTGTATCACTAGGGCATAAGTAACACCTTCTTAATGTTCAATACAGGATGCATCCTTCCATAAGCCAGTTCCCAAATAAGAAGTTTTATGCAAAACAAATCTTGGATGGCATGAATGTGAAGAGGAGCACTTATGGGAAGAGTTTTTTGCAAGGAAGTATATACGGGTCCTACTCTTTTATAAATGTAACTTCTGCCAAAGAGGAGTTTGATAAGAGTCATATATAGCATGAAAAATCTCATGGAAGTGGCTATAATTTCTGAAATTATTTCAAGGCTCTATAAAGGTATACATGTTTCTCTCTTTTTTATCTCTCATCCTTAGTGAATAACTGAACTTTCATCGATATCATCACAGAATCTGTTGCAAGAAAACGAAGGGTAAGTGTATAAGGCTCAAGTAAATGCAATACTTGAAAAACTTGGCAATAAGTATATGGACTCTGAAGATTACTTCTCTGTAAATGTCCGATCTGTTGATGGATTTCAAGGGAGTGAGGAGGATGTAATTATTATATCCACAGTGAGATGTAATGGTAGAGGGTCTGTTGGTTTTCTTTCAAATCATCAAAGAACAAATGTGGCATTAACTCGAGCCAGGTAACAAACTGATTAACTTATCTGATGTATCTTTTAATTTGTTATCTTCATTTCTCCATAGTTGCATGATCGATCTTTTCATGTATCACATATGAGCTTTATACAGATACTGCCTCTGGATTTTGGGGAATGGATCAACCTTGCTAAATAGTGGCTCTATCTGGAGAGATTTGATTGTTGATGCTAAGGATCGTGGTTGTTTTCACAATGTTAGTGAAGACAAAAACTTGGCTCAAGCTGCCATGGGTGCTTTGATTGAGCTTCGTCAACTTGATAGCTTGTTCAATATGGATTCATTCCTTTTTAATGACACTAAATGGCAGGTATATTGTCACTAAGAATTGTGATTTGCTATTTACGGATTTTTCGTGCACATGGTAATATTGTTTTATTGATCGACTTTTGATAGGTAAAGTTTAATGACACGTTTTTGGAGACAATTGCAAGTTTTGGTGACGCTAAGATTTGTAAGGAAGTAGTTGCTATTCTGCTTAAGCTATCTAGTGGCTGGCGAAAAGATGGAAACAATAAAGTGAAACTAGAAGGAACAAGTATGCTTCTTGAGGTGTATGAAGTAACACAAAACATGTGTTTGATTTGGGCTGTAGACATTGTAGTAGAAAATTCACTTTGCATTCAGGTGATAAAGATTTGGGATGTTTTGCCAGACACCAAGATTGAACAATTGGCAAAGATGTTAGTGGAAAAGGTATATGGGAATTATACTGTAAACATGATGAACCGCTGCAAGGAAAAACGTGTTGAAGGGTATGTATGGATTCCACTTCTTTGTTTTTCCATAGATACTTTGGTCATAAGTTATGGTTAGAATACTATTTTGGAAACAGAACTTATTGTTTTGAAAACATGAATAGGAACCTTACGCTTCCTGTTACATGGCCTATGAATTCGGACACTGATCAAAGCTGGTCCTTGACAAATCAATTAGCGGCATTGAGCTTGAGGAACCAATCCAAGTCATCATCATCAAGAAGAGCTTCAAGTGTCTGGTTAGTTCTTGGACCATGTATTTGGTGGGTATATATATGCTAATATAAGTCTTTTTGTTTGGTAAACTAAGGGGGACTGTAATTGAAAATTCAACAGGGATGGTGATACAAGATCTCATGGAAGAGGAAGTAGGTGGTGAAGGTGAAAGAAATCTCTTGATTCTCCTCAGGAATTGAATCTAAAGAATGTGATCATTATATTGTCGCACTTTGGGTGATGGATATGGTTTTTTTAGAATCCTTGACAACACTTTTTTGCCGTAAAAGACGGGTTGGTTCATTTTATGTTGTTTGAATGTATGTTGATATTCTTGCATTTAGCCTTAAGAATCATATTAAAGTACTACTATGTGCCACTTTCTATGAAAGCTAGAGTACAATATTGTCGAAATATGCCTTCTAAATTGATAAGTTCTGCTTGGTTCGAAGGCTATATTGGCTTTCCAGAAATCCAGATCTAATTTGGTCACATCGGGTCTAAAAAGGGTACCAGGTCTAAATGGTTGTGTGAGGTCTAAAAAGGATTTGTTCTTGAATTGAATTTGCTTCATTGTTGAAGGCCAATCTTGGCAAATCTTTATTCCATTGTAGCTTAAAGTGAATTCCATTTTCAGGAAGAAGAATATCATATTAAAAAAAAAAAACTAAGACATATTTCTCTTCCATTTTTGGATCGACATTTCTACGGTTTTAACCATTTATCACCAAATCACCATTATAAGTCATTGTAATCTCTTTGATCAAGCTCTATAAACATTGCAATTTTTTAGTGGATTGGTTATCTTCTTCCTTCATTCGTGTAGTAAAACAAAATGGGTAAGGTTGCACTAAAACAAAAAAAACTCTAATGCATAAAACTACCTGGAATGCAAATCACAAGAACAATATTAGTTCAAGCAGAACAACACTAATATATCAAACAACAATTAACTACACGCAATGAAAATTACTAAGCAAAACAGTAAGTCCCAAAAAAAACCCATGAACGGATGAAACCGAGAACCAATCCACTAAAATATTGCAGTGTTTACAGAGTTTGATAAAAGAGATTACATTAGGATATAATGGTGATTTGGTGATAAAGGGTTGAAACCCTAGAAATGTCGATCAAAAAGGGAAGAGGAAGACGTCTTGACTTAGGTGACGTTTGTTTTTTGTCCGTAGATCTTCCTGGCCTCTTCTGTTTGTGCGGCGCAGATCACGTGCAGACATTAACCTTCGCAGACTGTTTGTTTTTCTAAAGACTACATACCTAAAAATGTCTGTGCGTCCTCTTCTTGGCGCAGATGTGGGTCAGAGTCTTCTAACATCTTCAGACATCTCCTAGGCTAAAAAACACATATACTTTATTTTTTTTATAGTTTTTTTGAATTTATATTTATTCCAATCTTATTAGTAGTGATAAACAATTTGAAAAAAAAAAGTTAGAACACTTACAAAAAGTTCGACCACACAAAAATGATAATTTTGACAAATTTATAAATAAAAGTTTATTTTAATAATGGTTGTTGAAATTGCTTATATAAATATGAAAAAAATAATATATTCTTAGATTTTTGTGCCAAATTTTATAAAACATTATTTAATAAAGCATCGTCAGTTTCTTAGAAAAAAAAATATTTATGGCACGTTTTTAATTGATTTGATTGAAAAAATCGAAATTTATTTCCATTTATTTATATATCAAATTCTTTAATTCTTATTTACAATGTTTAGGCATAATTTTGCGACCATAATTGTTGGGTTTTATCAAATATATAAGTTAATTTGTACAATTTTTATTTTCAATTTTTATACAATAATATATAAAGGTTGATTTAGATTTGTTAATTATTTATAACAAAGTCATAAATATATTAAAAAAATCACTTTGAAGTTTAAAAAATCAGTTTATTTAAATTTTAGTTTATTTTTGTAGTCTGCAGATGTTAAAAATACAGTTTTCTTTTTTTAGAGTGCAGACGTTTTGTCCATCTCTTCTGCTGCAGAAATCTACAAATATGGTATGGTATGCAAACCGCAAACATTTTCCCTAAAAAAAAAAAAAAAACAAACAATAGCTTATTATCTAATATTTCTCTTGTAGAAAATGGCACGCTCCCTTTACACTACAAAGGAATAAAGGTTTGCCAAGATTGGCAAATATGACCCTTTAACAATGAAGCAATTATATTTCAGGAACAAATCCTTTTTAGACTTAATACACCCATATTTTAGACTTTGGTTCCCTTTTTAGTTCCAATGCAACTAAATGAGACATGATTGCTAGAAAGACAATATGACCCTTGAACTAAAGAGAACTTGTCAATTTGGAAGGTATTTCCACATATACATAAGAAAAATGAAAATAAAACGTTGTAGGCAGAACTAAATTGAGAAATAGCAACATATTTACATTTATTTGTATAGTACTTATTTCTATTACATTGGTAGACACCTGACCATTAATTTTTTGACCAAATGCCTCATATATTCATACACAAAGTTTTAAATACAATATGTTTACGATTTCATACCTTCGAATTACTTTCATAAACTTCAAATCATTGCAATAATGACCACCATAAGCGGAAACCGGTTTAACATATCCACCAATGGGTGAAACAAATTATAGTGTGTTACAAATATCAAAACTATAGGAATTGTAAGATATGAGTCCAAGTTTATCTCTCCATAAGATCCTTTAAGGAAAGAAAGAGGATTTCAACACATTTATTGGACTATGGATTTCAGGTATTACCTTATAAGTCAAAAATCCCTTTAGGGATGTCAAAAAAAACTCATGGAACCCTAAACATGTATAACCCTAAACATGTATGAGGTTATTTGCTTAAACAAAACCAAGGGCAGGGGTGGACAGTCCTATCCCGAAACCCCATTGCCCTCTTAAGATATTATATATATTTATATACATTATTTATATAAATATAATAAATAATAACCTAATTTGGAGCTGTAAAAATTCAATAAAAAATCATGTTTGTAAGTTTCTAATATAATGTTTTTGAGATGTCATAATATTTTTTATTTTAAAATGTAAAAGTTAGTAAACCTTTCATAATTAATTATATTAAACAATTAATCAGCTTTACTAAAGGAACTCATTTATTTATTCTAATAAATAAACTTTTTTATTTACTTTGCTTTATTTAATAAACAATAGATAAACCTTTTATTTATTTATTTACTTGTTTTTATTGGGTAAATAATAAATTTTTCATATACAAAAAACACCATCTTATACCCAAATACTTATTCTTTCAAATGACACCACGTGTGAGTTCTTTTTACGCATTTTGTGAAGGATAACATCATATGTTCAATTTTAATCTGAAATCATCATAACCAAAAGGAACAACTTACATCTTTAACATTTTATTGACATCAAATTTTCATGCTATTCCCGTAATCTTTCAATGGCAAATACACATATTAAAAAAAAAAAAAAAAAAAAAAACTACAAACGATATGAATCAAGAAGAATTTTAAAACATTACTTATGAACAGCAAGATGCAGCACGAGCTCCTTCAGCTGGTCTGTCAACAAGAACCATTCCTGCGGGGTTTTGAGTAGGCTGAGCTCTAGGCAATCTCTTTGCTGTTTCAAACACAATAATTATTATCTCATAAATAATTTTTTTTATAATTTTAATTAAAATTTGCAAGTTATAAAACCTTACCAATTTCATGAAATACATCGTTAACATTAGCAGCAGTTTTAGCAGATGTCTCCATGAAAAAGAGACCATTCTCCTCAGCATATACACGTGCCTCCTGCATATCATAATTTGAGAATGTGATAATTAAATTATACATAATTACATATATACCCTTATATGTAAACAAAAGGCAAAGAAAAATCTAGTCATTATGTTTATAAATAAAGAAAAAAAATAAGGGAAAAGGGTACATACTTCTGCTGTTACTTTCCTCTTGTCTTCAAGATCAGCTTTATTTCCAGCAAGTGCCATTACCATGTTTGGATTACCTGCAACACCCACACACAATGAAATATGACTTCATTCAAGATTTTGAACAATGAAGAAAAAGAAGATAAAAAAATATATATAGAAGTGAACAAGATCAATTGGGAGAAAACCAAGAAAAGGGCTACTGGTTTTTGTATGGAAATAAAAGTTGAAAGATTGATGGAGGAAGTGAAACCCAAAGTGGTTGATGATAGCTGCTCACCTTGTTTTTGAAGTTCTTGAACCCACTTTTTAGCCCGTGTAAATGAATCCTAAACATAGTCAGGAAAACAGCAAGCGAAAGTTAGTAATTGCATTTAGAAATTCAAACATGATTCCATATCAAGTACTACTGTAAGAAAGAAAAAGATTTAACAGAAACATGCACTCTCATTCTATTGGAACTCAGTTAAGTGTTCTTAGTTAACAAACTATATCCTATCAGGTATCAAGTACTACAAACCACCACAATTCCAAGTTCAACAAGCCATATGAATGATCCACTGATAAGTTATGAAGATTCCACAGTTCAATTTCATAAAAAGGAAACCAGATATGAATAAGAATCTAGTAAACTTAAATTACCGCGCTAGTGATATCGTAGACAATGATTGCCGCTGCGGCGCCCCTGTAGTACATAGGAGCCAAACTATGATACCTTTCTTGACCCGCCGTATCCCAGATCTCGAATTTCACCGTTGCATCATTCACTGCTAGGGTTTGCGAAAAAAACGCCGCTCCGATCGTCGATTCCTATCACCACAACAACCAAAACAGATGAAATCAACAACCGAAAGTCCGAAACCATCACCAAGTTCAAACCCTAGAAAGTCAACGAAAAAAAGAGGAGAAAAGTCAGATAATAAAAAATCAAACCTGGAATTCTAGAAATTGGCCTTTGACGAATCGCAACACGAGACTTGATTTACCAGCTCCCATGTCCCCAAGCAAAACCTACAGATCATCGCGTAACTTGAAGCTTCAAACAAAAGATAAAAACAATAGAACAAATCAGGAATAGAACGAGTGATGATGATGGAGTTCAGTTACCAATTTTGCGTTGAGATTATTGTGTCCGATCGTCGCCATATTGATACGATCGAGGGAGAAAAGAGGTTTTTCTTTTGCAGCAAAGAGAAGCGATGTGTATTGTTGTTGGTTTGCTGATTGCTGAAACACGGAATTGGGTCGATATTAAAAATATGGAGTAAATGCAACAAAATTACGAATAAAACAAGTCTTTAAATACACACGCTTTAGTCTAGAACATTACCCATGTCATGTGATATTATTATAGATTTCTACTTTTTAAAGATCATCATTATTTTTTAATAAATTAACCTAGAGTCCTAG